AGAACAACGGCGTCCTGCTCATGGGATCGGGTCTTTTGGGAGCTGACGTGGGAGGTCAAGCGACCGTCAACATCCGTGAAGGCGCCTCGCTCTCGACTGTGGGCGGCAGTTTGGGCCACAAGAGCCCAAGCCATGCCACCGTGAACATCGACGGAGTTCCAGCAACTGCCCGTAGCCGGATCGATTTTTTTTCCTCGCGATGGGAAAGCACTTCGACGATCGAAGTCGGCGACCAGGGTCGCGGCACGCTCAACCTGACCAACGGCGGGTCGGCCGTAGCCCCCGTTTTCCATCTAGGAGTTGGCGCCGGCTCAGTGGGCGAAGTCAACGTGGATGGCGCCGCTGGGTTCCCTGCGAACAACCCGCTATTCTTGATTCATTCTGCCCTGGTAACGGAAGATTTAATTATTGGCAGGGCTGGTTCCGCCCATCTTACAGTCACGGGCGGGGGTGGTGTTGGCAGCTCGGACGTGTTCAACCCCAGGATCGGTTTCGTTGACGTCGCCGATGCTGTCGGCGGCGCCGGGACGTTGCTCATTAGCGGTACTGGCGAAGAGGAGCGAAGCCAGTTTAACGCGGATCAGTTTGTCTTGGGAAAACTTGGCGCTGCGAAGCTGGACGTGACCGCCGGAGCAGTCGTTAACACCACCAACTCTTATGTTGCGACCGGTGTTGGCTCGACGGCGGTGATTAATATTCAAGGAAGCGCTCCCGGCGCGCCGTCCACATGGCAAGTCGACAACCGCCTGACGCTCGGTGGCGACAATCTCGGAGCAGGGGGCGCTTCAACCTTGTCGGTAACCGATGGTGGACAACTGCTTGTCGGAAGCCAGGGCGTGACCGCGTGGGACGCCAGTTCGGTGACAATCAACGGAGGCACTCTCAAAACTCAAGGAGGTTTTGACAACTCGCACGGCGGCTCGCTCACCTTTCGCGACGGAACTTTCGAAGTCAGCGGAGGACCGCTTCATTATGCAACTACCCCACAACGGTTCTTTCTCATAGGCGACACAGCTACAAGCAGTCCGCATCTGATTATCGGCGGCGGCGCGACAACGTCGAACATCGAGCAGCTGTCAATTGGCGTGTTTACCGATGCTCGGCTCACGGTGAAAGACGGCGGCCAGTTTGCTGCGGAGCAAATTTTTGGCAGTGGATCCATGGTCGTTAAAAACGGCGGCCAGGTAAGACTAGATAATTTTGCCCGCACTGTTGGCTCTACCGAAATTCGCATCACCGGAGCCAGCTCTAGCTGGGTCCAGTCCAAGGACTTCAGTCTTGCTCAAGACGGCAACACCGAGTTGCTGGTAGCGGATGGCGGCGCCCTCTCGAATGGCGATGCTGCCCTGGGGGCGGGCCCTGGCGGCACGGCAATCGCCACGGTCACAGGATCTGGTTCCCATTGGAAGTCGTCCGGTGCGCTACGAATCGGCGCCGGGGGACGAGGTGAGTTGCATATCTTGGAGGGAGGGATTGTCAGCGTCGCAGGCGGACTGTTTATCGATGACGGCGCCGGAGATGGCGGCAGCTTGATCAATATCGCCGCTGGTGGGGAACTCGCCCTCTATGGCCGGGCAGACGCCACGCTCAGTGATTTCCTCGACCTTATCGATGGAACTGATAGGATTCGCTACTGGGATGAACTCAACGGCAATTGGAGCGACATTTCTGGAGCCGTTCGCGGTGAGCATTTCGAACTCGAGTTCAATACGTTTGGGGTGCTAGCTGGCTACACCTCATTGACGGTTTTCCCCGCGGCTCCCGAAAGAGTCCCCGAGCCGGGATCGGTGCTGCTCTTGCTCTGCGCTACGCTTGCCACCGCATTGTCACGCCGCACATTTCGCGGATAGCTGGTTGCTCGAGTACGTCTTTCGCCTGGCGTCACGAAATCGGGCTGCCCCTTTTGCTGCGGCGAGTCACTCGGGTCCGAACCGGCGTGGTGAACTCTTGAAAGCGAGGCCGGCAGCGCCCGGCTCAAGCACTACCCGAGAGTCCTGCGGGAAAGGTCATTCCGATTGAAACGGCGTCGTTAGGCGAACTACGCGTGAGGCGGCCGCGGTGAATAGCAAAGTGCGAAAGGCGCGGCCGTTCCATCTAATTTCGTGCTCGGTCAACGTGGACGTCGAAGCGATGATTCGGGTGCAGCCGGTAGACAGACGTGATTCCCCCGCTGCGAGTTTCGGGTTTCCTTCGAGATGGCGGTTGCATCGTCCGCGGCGCTTAAGAACGGCAGCGAACTCGCTGAGGTTGTCACAACCTCGGTCAGATTCGGGACACCTAATAGGGCGCCGGCTCTATCGTCCCGCGTAGCATTCCGGACCGCCCGCTAGTGCACAACGGCCCCCTCGCGAGGGGCTTCCGACGCCCCCACGAACTTCCGTGTCGACCCAACGCTAGTCGCTGCGCGGCCTCAGTACCCCGGCCTCAGTACCCCGGCCCGCGCAGATCAATCGCCCCCGCGGGCCACCCTTCTTTCGTCGGGTACCGCATCACCACCGAGTCGGCGAAGGGGCTGGCGTTGGGGTCGGGCCCCAGCGAGTTGATGATCTTGTTCGCAACGGTCACGGCGCCGAGCCGCTCGTAGAACGGGCGGACCTGATCGCTGGTCTGGAACAGCGCGAAGGAGAACACGCCGCGGTCGACCAGCTCGAACACCGAGCGGACGACCCGCCCGCCGAGCCCCTCGCCCCGGCGGTCCGGGTTGCTGCAGACCTTGCCCAGGCCGAGGACCGTGAGCTCACCGGCCGACGTGCCGACCGTGCGGGGCTCGGCCACCGCGTTGGCGATGATCTGCTCGCCATCCCGCACGACAAACGCCCGGGGCGCCTGTTCGGCAGGGCCCGTGTAGCCCTCGGCGATCTGCTGCAGCTGCCGCTCGCGGAACGCGACGTCCTTCTCTGGCTTGGGCCAGGTGCGGTAGATCAGCTCCGCAATGGCGCGGCGGTCGGCCTGCGAGAGGTCGGCGAGCAGCAAGCTGTGGTCGGTCAGGGACATGGGTGCGGTTGTGCGGGCGGTAGGGGCGGCCTCCGGTTTCAAGCCTACCGCGCGAATCCCAGCAGGCAAACGACGCTTTTTGCACCCCCCGTGGCGGGTGTTGCGGGGCACTTGCTGATTTGCTGTAACAGCGGGTCTCCCGCTGCGTATTAGGAGCAGAAGGCCCGATTCCCGCCCAGTCACCACGATCAGACCGCCGATGTACGCCCTGCCCTGCTCCGACAACCTGACCGACGTGCCCGAAATCTGCCACACCAACCGCGGAGTCACGCGTAGCCGGGGCCTCCAACTCGCCCCCTCGCGGTCGATGTTGCGGGCCAGCTACGCCGAGCTCTACCGCCTGGCCGAGGCCCTCGTTGGGCGCCCACCGCAAGGCCGATCGATCGACCCACGCACCCTGGTCAACGAGGCCGCCCGGCACACGCTGGGCGCCAGCGGGCTGCAGGACCTCGCCGACCCGGCGGGTTACCTGGCGTTCCTGGCTAATGCGCTGCACAGGATGCTGATCGAGCTGGTGGAGCACCGCGCCGCCCTCCACGGCGAGGCGCCGGCGGTTGGGTTGAACCTCCCCGGCGTCGCCGGCGCCGCCGACCTGACCTCCCTGCTGGCCGCGCTCGATCTCCTAGAGAGCCGCAGCCTACGCCACGCGCAGATTGCCGTGCTGAAAATGCTGGGCGGGCTCAGCGACGCCGAGGTCGCCGCCGAGCTCGGCCTCAGCGAGACCCGCGCCCGGGTCGGCTGGTCGCGGGTCCGTGACTGGCTGGCAATCACTTGTTCAGCACCGCGGCGGTAAAGTTGGCGCCCGTAGTTTCCGGGTCCCAGGTCCAGGCGTCGCCGTACCGGCGTTCGTAGTCGCGCCAGATCTCGAACCAGTAGGCCAGGAACTGGTACGGCACCAACGGGTCGTACCGGGCGTGGATCAACGGGTCGAGCGTCTTGTCGTTCGGCGGCCGCTGGGCGCCCGTCACGTGGCAGTAGTGGCGGTAGGTCTCGGTGTCGATTGGCAGGTGGTCGTACCTGCCGAGCAGCTGCAGCATGTTGGCCGCCGCGTAGGGTCCGATGCCGTCGAGCCTCAGCAACGCCTCACGCAGCTCGGCGGTCTTGCGTGCAGGATCCTCAAACCAGGCGGCGTCGATCTCCCCGCGATCGAACGCCCGCGCCAGCGTGATGATCCGCCCCGCGCGGTAGCCGACGCGGCAGCTCTGCTTGAGCCGCGAGGGCGTCAGGCGGGCGAGTTGGGCCGGCGTGGGGAACGCCCCGCGGCCGATGCTCGCGACCAGCCGGCGATTCATGCTCATCGTGTTCCGCCACGTGACGTTGCAGCCGGTGATGGTCTTCACCAGGTCCTCAAACAGCGTGGGCGAGCGGAACAGGCGGCCGAAGCCACGCCGCCGCGCGGCCGGGTTGAGCCGGTGCCACGCGGCCGGGTCTTCGTCGGGGCGGAGCATCCGCACCAAGGCCGCGCGGACCTGCGCCTGCTCCGTCCTGTCCAGGGCCGCGTCGCAGGCCACCCGCAGCGCCCCGCCGCGGCCCGCGGGCTGGCTGACGGTGGCCCCCACCACCCGGCCCCCCAGCGTGAACGGGCGGTAGAGGGTCTCTGCTTGCGGGCGCCACAGATTGGGCGCCAGCAGGAAGTAGCCGTACGAGCACACCGCCCGCTTCAGCTCGAAGTCGGCCGGCACGCGGAGCGTCAGGGTGGAGGGCATGGGGGCTGCGTGGTGGGTAGCGGATGAAAGACGGTTGTACCAAATCCCCGCCGACCGCTGACAGACGCCGTCCAGCGAAGCCGTCCAGCGGACCCGCACGCAACCCTTCCCGGCGTTTCGGGCCAGGGATAAACTAACGGGATGCTCAGCTCAACCTCCTCGCCCGTACTCACCGGCCCGGCGCTCGATGCGGCTCTCGACGACCTCTCGGCCACCGGCGCCGACTTCCACCGCCGCGGGTGGTCGCTGGGAACCAGCAGCAACTACAGCGTGGTGGTCAGCCGCGACCCGCTAGAGCTGATGGTCACCGTCAGCGGCAAGGACAAGGGCCGCCTGGGCCGGGCGGACTACGTCCGCGTTGGCGCCGACGGCCGGCCGGTCGAAGCCGACGCGCCGCCTTCGTCCGCCGAGACCATGCTGCACGTGGTGCTGGCGCAGCAGCCGGGCGTCGGGGCGGTGCTGCACACCCACTCGCCCGCCGCGACGCTGCTGTCGGACCGCTTCGCGCGTGACGGCGCGCTGCGGCTCTCGGGCTACGAGATGCTCAAGGGCCTCGCCGCGCACGGCACCCACGAGGCGACCGAGCTCTGCCCGATCTTCGAGAACACCCAGGACATCCCCGCCATGGCCGAGCAGGTCCGCGAGCGGCTCAACGACCCCGACCAGCCGCTGCGGCACGGGTTCCTGATCCGCAAGCACGGCCTGTACGCCTGGGGCGCCGACATCGCCGAGGCCCGCCGCCACATCGAGGTATTCGAGTTCTTGATGGACTGCGAGCTGCGGCGGCTGAGCCTCGCCTAGCGTCAAGCAAGCAAACCTCTCATCCCGTCGCCCCCGGCAGAGCCCCGGGGGCGACGAGCAACCAGCAGGGCCAACCGACCATGGCTTCCGTAACCGTAGCCGACGACAACCGCCGCATCGAAGACCCCGACGCCATCCGCGAGTTCCTCGCCCCGTTTGGCATCTGGTACGAGAAATGGGACGTCGAGGGCCGCCTGGGCGACTCCCCGACCGATGAGGAGATCCTGGCCGAGTACCAGCCGGAGATCGATCGCCTGAGCGAGCGGGGCGGATTCGTCACGGCCGACGTCATCAACGTCAAGCCCGACACGCCGAACCTGGACGCCATGCTTGCCAAGTTCGACAAGGAGCACACCCACAGCGAGGACGAGGTGCGCTTCACGGTCGCCGGCCGCGGCGTGTTCTGGATCAGCCCCGACGCGTCCATCAACAACGTCGACGGGCCGGTGTTCTCGGTCGAGGTCACCACGGGCGACCTGATCAACGTGCCCGCCGGCACCAAGCACTGGTTCCACCTGTGCGACAACCGGCAGATCCGCTGCATCCGGCTGTTCCAGGACCCCAGCGGCTGGACGCCCGACTACATCGAGAACGGCGTCCACTCGCAGCACCAGCCGGTCTGCTGGGGCGGCAGCTATCTGCCCAAGGCCGATGACATCAAGGGCGCGGTGAACCTGTGATCGAAGTTCATGCCGAGGGCGTGCTGCTGGACGTCGAGGGCACCACGTCGTCCGTCAAGTTCGTGTACGACGTGATGTTCCCGTTCGCCCGTCGCGAGCTGGCCGCCTACCTCCAGCATGCCTGGGAAACCGACGCATGCCAAGCAGCGTGCGAGCAGGTCGCCGCCGACGCGGGCCGGGCCTCGCTCGCCGCGTGGGCCGCCGGCGAGGACCGCGACCCCCGCGCGCTAGTCGAAGCCGAAGCCACCCGCCTGATGGACGCCGACCAGAAGGCGACCGGCCTCAAGCAGTTGCAGGGCCTGATCTGGAAGAGCGGCTTCGAGTCCGGCGAGATGGTCGCGCACGTCTACCCCGACGTGCCGCCCGCCCTGGAGCGGTGGCGGGCCGCCGGCGCCGACCTGCGGATCTACTCCTCCGGCAGCATCCAGGCGCAGAAACTGTTCTTCGGCCACACCGAGCAGTGCGACCTGCTGCCGCATTTTTCCGGCCACTACGACACCACCACCGGCCCCAAACGCGAGGCCGCCAGCTACACGGCCATCGCCCAAGACTGGGTCCTGCCGCCCGCCTCGATCCTGTTCCTCAGCGACATCACCGCCGAACTTGACGCCGCCCGCGAGGCAGGCCTGCAGACGGGCCTATTGGTCCGCCCCGACAACGCGCCGGTCGAGCCGAGCCACGGGCATGCGGTAGTGGCTAGCTTCGCTGAGATTGAAGTCACCGCCGCCTAGCGGCGCACGAACGTACCCCCCGGCTCACCGAGCCGGGAGAACAAACGTGACGTTTGGGAGAACCGTCGGTACACTGGGTAACTCCCCCTGGGGGTCTTGGCTTCTTGGAAGTATAACTCTTCGTCCGCTCTTCGCCTTCTGCGATCGTGGGCGCAGGTGCTCACTAGAATTGATTGTGCCTTGCACCATTCTGTACACGACTATCACCTCTACGCCTACCATGTAGACGCTAAGCAGCGGCAGATCGTGCTCAACATGGAATCTCCAGGGGACTTTCCCGTTCCGCGCGACGTGGTATTCACTGGCGTACTAGATCACTGCTTCCGTCATCCTGCAGTTCCGTCGATCATACTCCAAATAGTCGAAGCCGATCCGCGTGACGTAATCACACGCGACCACCGAGAACTCTGCCAGGGCTACCGCCAGGCCGGTTGGCCCACGTTCTGGCGGTCAAGCACAGAAGAAATGATCCGCACCATCGCCGAAGCCGGGTGCCGAGTATTCGCAATCGAGTCGTCGTTGGGCTTGAGCGGTTGGGTCGTTGCAGAGTCGGCTGAGGGCATCGCCAGGTCAGATTCGCCGCGGTATTGATGCCAGACCTCAGCAAGAGCAACCCCGCCGAAGATCCGACGCTCCTATCGAGCAAACTGGCCGGGTGGCCGTTCTGGCGGCAGCTCGCCCGGCAGTACCACGCATGCTACTTTACGTCGCTCAGCAAGGCGCTCTCCCACGCCTCGCTTCCACTGTTGATCGCTGCCGTCGGGGCCGTGCTATCGTTTGGCAGCATCTTCCTCGAAGAGCAGTTTCCGGTCTGGGCGTCCAAGTACGGTTCTGGGTTCTGGGGGCGGTTCGCGCCGTTTGGTTGGGGCTCACTCGGTTACCTCCTGTACATCCCCCTCACCGCGCCGCTCGCGCCGCCGCGGCAGGCGGGCGGTCGCTACACCCTGCGCACCCTGCTAGCGACCACAACGGTGCTGTGCGTTGTCGTCGGGGGCTCCGCGTTTGCGTACCGTCAGTCACAATGGGTAGAAGGCCGGCGAGCAATGGTTCAGAGCATGCTGCAGCCCTACGGGAAGGTGTTTGCTGTGGACTATTGGCCACTCCTCGGCGACATGAAAGAGCTCCGCATCTCGAACCTCGACGACGCAGGGGCGAGCTACCTCGCCGAGTGTGCCGAGGCCCAGAAGCTGCTTGTGCTTGACCTCGATTCGCCCAACATTTCGGATCAGGGGCTCGATCAACTAGCGGGTCTTCCTCACATACAAGAACTTATTGTGATCGGTGCGGACCTCTCGCAAGAGTCGCTGTCTCGTTTCAAGAGCGCGCACCCTGACTGCCGAATAGTCCACTGAAACGTGGCAGACCGAAGCTCTCCCCGTTTAGTACTGGCGTACCCGAAACCGATCGCCGCACCGGCGTAACCGACTGCCCCCAGTATTCATCGCACTAGCCTAGCGGGTGATAATGGCCGCGTTCGACAAGACCCACGCCGCCGACTACGACAATCGCTTCGCCGAGCTGCGGCCGTTGGTGGACGCGTTGCACCTCTTGATCGCCGCGGAGCTGGCCGACCTGCCGACCGACGCACGGGTGCTGTGCGTCGGCGCGGGGACCGGGGCGGAGCTGCTGCCGCTGGCTGAGCGGTTCCCCAGCTGGCGGTTCACGGCGGTTGACCCGTCGGGGCCGATGCTGGAGGTCTGCCGCCGCAAGGCGGAGGAGAGCGGCGTGGCGGACCGCTGCGAGTTCCACACCGGCTACCTCGACTCGCTGCTGCCCAGCGAACCCTTCGACGCGGCCACCTCGATCCTGGTGTCGCAGTTCCTGCTCGACCCACAGGAGCGGACCCGCTTCTTCCGAGCAATCGCCGAGCGGCTCCGGCCCGGCGGGCGGCTGGTGAACGCCGATCTGGCGGCGAGCGCCTGCGCCCAATCGGCCGACGACCTCATGGCGTTCTGGATGAGGGTGATGAGCTACGGCGGCCAGACCGAAGAGCAGCTAGAAAACCTGCGGAAGGGTCTGAAGGAGTCCGTCGCCGTGGTGCCGGCCAGCCAGGTGGCCGACCTGATCGCGGCGGCCGGGTTCAAGCGTCCCCTCCCCTTCTACCAGACGGGCCTGATCCACGGGTGGTCGGCCCGCACGCCGTCGTAGGACCGGAGGGGCGACGCCTATTGCCGCAGTGCAATCCCTCAGGCGGCGCCCTACAATCGCGGCAGCTCCCGCTCCCGACTCGCCGCCTCGCAGGGAAACGCCGTGGCTCTAGAGACCATCGACCTCGCCATCATCGCCGCGGTGATCCTCGTCACGGTCATTGTGGGTCTGTGGTCCAGCCGTCGCGCCGGGGACAACCCGGCCGAGTACTTCCTGTCGGGCCGCGGCATGTCCGGCTGGATGCTGGGGATCTCGTTGGTCGCGACCACGTTCGCCGCCGACACGCCCGGCCTGGTGACCGAGCTGGTCCGCACCCACGGCGTGGCGGGCAACTGGGCGTGGTGGGCGTTTCTGCTGACCGGCATGCTGACCGTGTTCCTGTTCGCCCGGCTGTGGCGCCGCTCGGGCGTGACCACCGACCTCGAGTTCTACGAGCTGCGGTACCACGGCGGGCCGGCCCGCTTACTGCGGATGTTCCGCGCCGCGTACCTGGGCGTGGTGTTCAACGTGATTGTGATGGCGGTGGTGTCGGTCGCGGCGATCAAGATCGGGCACGTGATGCTGGGGCTTTCGACCACCGAGGTGCTGCTGTACGGCGGGGTCACGGCGCTGGTGCTCAGCACGCTGGGCGGGTTCCGCGCGGTGGTCTGGACCGATTGCGTGTTGTTCGGGGTCGCAATGTCCGGCGCGGTCGCGGCCGCGTACTTCGCGCTGCAGCACCCGGAGGTGGGGGGGCTGGCGCAGCTCTTCGATCACGAGGAGGTCGCCGCGAAGCAGGCGATGTTCCCCGCGTGGGACTGGAGCACCACCGAGTCACGCAACTTCCTGATGACCGTGCTGCTGATGCCGCTGCTGGTGCAGTGGTGGAGCGTGTGGTACCCGGGCGCCGAGCCGGGCGGCGGCGGGTACCTGGCCCAGCGGATGCTGGCGGCGAAGAGCGAGAACCACGCGCTGGGCGCGGTGATGCTGTTCAACGCGGTCCATTACGCGCTGCGCCCGTGGCCGTGGATCCTGGTCGCGTTGGCCTCTCTGGTGGTGTACCCGGAACTGGCGGACCTGGAGCGGGCGTTCCCGCAGCTCGACCCGTCCAAGCTGGGGAACGACTTGGCGTACCCCGCCATGCTCACCCACGCGCCGGCCGGCTGGCGGGGCCTGATCCTGGCGTCGCTGCTGTCGGCGTACGTCTCTACGATTTCGACGCACCTCAACTGGGGGTCGTCGTACGTGACCAACGACTTCTACAAGCCGCTGGTCGGCGGGTCGGCTTCCGATGCGCAGCTGGTGCTGGTGGGCCGCCTGGCCACGGTGGCGATGATGGTGCTGGCCAGCGGGCTGGCCTACTACCTGCAGACCGCCAAACAGGGCTTCGATTTGCTGCTGAGCGTCGGCGCCGGCACGGGCTTGGTGTTTGTGCTCCGCTGGTACTGGTGGCGGATCAACGCCGTGAGCGAGATTGTCGCGATGGTGGCCTCGGTGGCAGTGGCCGCGTTGTTCCAGTTCGTCGACTTTGGGCTGGAGGGTTGGCAGGTGCTCGGGCTGAGTGTCGCCGCGACCTCGGCGGTCTGGCTCGGCGCCACCCTGCTCACCCGCCCCGAGCCCGACACCACGTTGTTCTCCTTCTGCCGCCTGATCCACCCCCGCGGCCCCGGCTGGCGCGCGGTCTACCGCCGCGCCGCGCAGGCGGGACACCCGATCCCCACCGATCCGCAAGACTCGATCCCGCTGGGCCTGCTCCGCATGCTGCTCGGGACCGTGGCGATCTACGCCGCGTTGTTCGCCGTTGGTCAGGGGCTCTACGGGGCGACCACCCCGGCGATCGTGCTGACGATCACGGCGCTGGCCGCGGGGCTCGGGTTGGGGGTTACGTTCAGGCGAGAAAGAACGACAGACCAGGCACCCATCGACCACTGACCCGAAACGCACCGCTTGCTCTTCAAGAGGACTTCGCCATTGCCTGACTACAAGCGAACGGTCGGCGCCTCACTTTCCCGTGCAAACTCCCTGAGGCCGCTGCACTCCTCGCTGCGACGCTATTACGCAGCCGCCTCGGTTCTGTCTGCCTCGCTTGGCGGCCTGGCGTTTCTGAACACCGTGGATGAACTGGCTGCCGGGCGCCTTACGGTGGGCACGTTTGGCCGGACGATTCTCGGCGTCGGCTTTTTGCTGACCGGCGCCCTTGCATTCGTCCGCTTGTTGGCTGACTGTCTTCGACGCTGGGCGCTGGAAGGGCTTCCCCGGAAAGTCGTCCGCAGCCGACTCCAATCATTGCCCCGGGATCGATACTTTGAGGCCAACCCCAACAAGCTTCGCGGCATGATCATCGGGGCCGTGTTCTTTGGCGGTTGCCTGGTTTTTGCGATAGCCGTCAGAGCTGCCGGTATCGCGCCGGGGTAGTTCTTATCTGCCTTCCGACTTCGTGGTGCATCTCTGAGCACAGGTTCTGCATTTCTCTCGCGTGATCACTCAGCCACGCACGATTAATGGAAGAATCGCACTGCTGCCAATGCCCCGACTAACCAGAACAACCCGCTGTTTGGCGTACCAGCCCGCGTGTTTGCTGCGCGGCGTCACCCTGCTCGAGCTGCTGGTGGTGCTCGGCGTATTGGCGATCCTGGTGGCGCTGACGCTGCCCGCCATCCAATCGAGCCGCGAAGCGGTCAGGCGGACGCACTGCGCGAACAACCTCCGGCAGACCCTGCAGGCGGTGCAGGCGGTTCACGACGCCGAGGCCGCCCTGCCCTCGCTGTACAACCGCGCCGGCCTGGCCTACCCGCTGCGGGAGTGGGACCTGTTCCACCTGCACTCCTGGCGGACGCCGCTCTTGCCGCACCTGGACGAGGCCCCGCTGCATGACGCGATCGCGTGGGAGCAGCTGGCGACCGCCGAGGAGAACGCCAACGTGGCCCAGTCGGTCGTTCCGAGTTTTGTTTGCCCGTCCGGCGGCTCCCCGGCCCGGGTGGGCTGGGGGCGGAAGCATGACCGGCTGGGAGTGCCGCGGGAAGATTTAAACGACGACGATCGCTACTACGTCGTGCGGGCTGACTACGACGCGATGGCCGGCATTCAGGTGCTTCCCGACCCGCTTCCGCAGGGCGCCGATGCGGACGACGTTCGGTTTGTGCGGTGGGGCGTGTGGGGCTGGCCCGTCTTTGAGAAGCCAAAGACCTCCGGCGCTCAGCTGCTGCGATACCGACGCGGCCGATTCCGCGACGTCACCGACGGGCTGTCGCACACGCTGGCCGTCGTTGAGCGGGGAGGCAAGCCAATTCATCTGCTGCACGGCCGGCCCCACCTAACGAAGGACAACCCTAGCGCCGACTACCCCGGCCAGGTCGGTTGGTCGGCCAGCAACTCGTTTGCGTGGTCCATCAACGACAACGACGTCGGTGTGAACCATTCGAACGCTACCGGGATCTACGCCCTGCACCCCGGCGGCGCGAGCGTCGCGCTGGCCGACGGCGCCGTCCGATTCCTGGCAGACTCGACCGACTTCGGCACGCTGGTCGCGTTGTTCGGGCGTTCCGACGGCGGGATCCCCACGGAAGACTGACCCTCCAAGCAGCCCCCCCCCAAACTCCGGCCGGATTTCGGTAGAAACCGGCCACTTGGCGCCATCTAATGAAGTCGTTCGGCCGGCTCACGACTTAGCGGCGCCGGAACTGGAGGCGTCGGCGCTAGCCGGGCAATCGCTGGGACGCGGCGCCGTTCCCCGTGGCTCACCTTCCGCGCCACGCCGGACTCGATCCGTCCCAACTTCGTTCCAGCCCGGTGGGGTTTTGTCGCACTCGCGCCGAAGCATGCGACAAAACCCACGATGTTTAGGTTTTCAACATCGCTGTAAGTGCTGTGCTTCAAACCGATTGCAGCGGCCGCAGGCGGGTCGGCGGCGAGGAGTTTTGTCGCCGCTGATCGTGTTCGCCCCGTTGCGACAAAACGACAAAACCACAGAACGACTAAACGAATGGGTCGCCGCGTGCGGTGGGCTACTCGTTGTTGAGCACCGAGCGTTCGCCGCCGGTGCGGGGGCCGGTCTCGAGCAGCGAAGGCGGCTCAAACTCGTCCGACGAGGGCCGTGGCTCCGGCGGCGGCTGCGGACCGCGGCTGCCAGACGAACGGGGAGCGGGAATCGCCTCGACCTCCTCGGGCTCGGTCGTGGGCGGCGGGCCGAGGGACGGCCGCCGCGACGCGTTCGCTTCCGCGTTGGCGCTGGCTTGCAGCTCGCTCTGCAGCTGGCGGAACTCGTCCAGGCTCGAGACCGCGTCGAACTGCGGGTCGTTGGCGACCGAGTCCATCCGTCGGAGCAGCTTGCTGGTCTTGGCCGGGTCGGCGAGTTCGGCGGGGGTCAGGGCAAAGTACTTCTGCCAGCCGTCGCCTCCGTCAAACTGGTCGAGTTTGTTGATCAAGGCGTCGTACGAGGCGTTCACCGGGCCGCCGGCGTCAGGGCGGGCGACGGTGGGTTCGTACCGGGGAGCCAGGTTGTAGGCAGCGGCGCCGGGGCTGGAGTACTGCTGGTCGCCGGGAGCGGGGTCGTACTCCCCGGCCGGCGTGGGCGTGGCGGAGCCGGTCACCCGCGGGGTGGTCGAGCTCTGCACCCTAACAGAGAAGCCGGGCCAGCCGTAGCGGCCGTAGAAGCTGCCGGGGTAGTAGCTCGTCGAGCGGCCGTACGAGTAGTAAGGAGTCCGAACCGAGACTCCCACGTTAGGTCTCACATCGATGCCAACCGCGGGTGCTGCCATCATCCGGGCGCGGCGGCGATAAAAGCGCTGCGCGTCGGCCTCGGACGAGAACGCCACAACAACGGCGCCCAACAGCACCAAGCGGGGGAGCGGATGATGGAATAAGAACATGCTTTTGCCTCGGTTTACGTACATTTCCGGCGGGAGTGCGTCCCGTATTGTAGGTCGCCCCTACCGGTTGGGGCAAATAGCCCCCTGCCCGGGGGACCCGCGGCCGTAGGCACCTGGCAGGGGTTCCGCTACGATCCGCGGCATGCCCGACGCCCCGCACAATCGACTCGACATCCCGCGACTGCTCGACCAGAGCACCGTGGGGCACGTGCATTATCTGCCGGAAACCGATTCCACCAACGAGGTTGCGCTGCAGCGGGCGGCCCAGATCCCGCCCGAGGCGTCGGAGTTGGTGCTCACCAGCCGTCAGCTGCGGGGCAAGGGCCGGGGGGACAACCGCTGGTGGGCCAGCGAGGGGGCGCTGACGTTTTCACTGATTACGCCACGGCTGCCGCTGCCGCGGGAGCGGACGCCCTGCCTGTCGCTCGCCACGGGGCTGGCGATCTGCCAGGCGGTCGAACAAGCGGCGCCGGCCGCCGAAACACGGCTCAAGTGGCCCAACGACGTCTACCTGCAGGGACGCAAGGCCGCCGGGATCCTGATCGAGTCGCCCGGGCACACGGCCGATAGGTTTGTGGTGGGCGTGGGGCTGAACGTCAACAACTCGTTTGAGGCGGCGGCGGCGGAGATCCGCGGCCGGGCGATCAGCCTGGCGGACGTCACCGGCGGCCCGCTGGGCCTGACGGACGTGCTGATCGACTGCCTGCGACAATTTGACGCCTGCCTCGCGATGCTGCTGGCCGGCGACCCGCGCCTGGCGGAGCTGTGGGATTCGTGGTCGTTGCTGTCAGGCCGCCGCGTGCGGCTGGCCCTGCCGGCCGAGGTGGTTGAGGGCGTTTGCCGCGGGATCGCCGACGATGGGGCCCTGCGGATTGAGCAGCCGAGCGGCGAGCGGGCCTGCTACGGCGGCGTGGTGGAGTGGTTTGAGTAAGCTGGTGCGTCCCCGAAGAGAAAGCCCGGCCGCGGGCAGGGGCGGATTCAAAGAACGCCGGCCGGCAACTATCCTAGGGGCTCTGCGGGGCTGAGGGCTCCGCAGGAGTCTCGGCCCGGCGGCCCTGTCGTCCGGTATCCAAACTTGCAACAGGTTGAGTGAATGACAGCGCAGCTACCGATTCTGGCCCAAACGGGCGGCTGGCAAGGCATTGTTGACGGCAACGGGCTGGCGATCTCAATCACGGGGATGCTGATTGTGTTCGTCGCACTGGCGACGATCAGCCTGTTCATCGCGATGCTCCCCAGGGTGCTGGCCCTGATCGAACCGATCTTCCCAGAATCGGCGGGACACCATCACGGCGCCTCGCCGTCGGCGCCCGCCCCGACCTCCGCCGAGGACAACGGCGCGGTAGTCGCCGCGATCGGCTACGCGGTGCACGCCCGGTCGCAGGCCGACCAGGGAGGGAAGTCGTAACGTGGAAATCTTCTACAAGTTCCTCGAGACCACCGCGTTTGCCCAGCTCACGCTCGGCAACGCGATGATGATCCTGATCGGGCTCGTGTTCATCGCGCTGGCGATCATCAAGGACTACGAGCCGCTGCTGCTGCTGCCGATCGGCTTCGGGGCGATCGTGGGCAACATCCCCACCGACCCCAGCATGGGGCTGAGCGTTTACGACTCCGGCAGCGTGCTGAGCTACATCTACTTCGGCGTCAGCCAGGGCATCTTCCCCCCGCTGATCTTCCTGGGGATCGGCGCGATGACCGACTTCTCCACCATGCTGTCCAACCCCAAGCTGGTGCTGCTGGGCGCCGCGGCGCAGATGGGCATCTTCCTGACGCTGCTGGGCGCCATGTGGCTGGGGTTCACGCCCAAGGAAGCAGGCGCCATCGGCATCATCGGCGGCGCCGACGGGCCCACGGCTATCTTCCTGGCGGCCATCCTGGCGCCCGAGCTGCTCGGCGCCATCGCGATCGCGGCCTACAGCTACATGGCGTTGGTGCCGGTGATCCAGCCGCCCATCATGAAGCTGCTCACGACGCGCGAAGAGCGTCTGATCCAGATGAAGCCGCCCCGGCACGTGTCGAAGAGAGAGCGGATCATCTTCCCGATCGCCGCCTTCCTGATCTGCACGTTCATCGCTCCGGGCGCGCTGGTCCTGATCGGCATGCTGTTCCTCGGCAACCTGTTGAAGGAGAGCACGGTCACCGAGCGGCTGGCCAACACGGCCCGCACCGCGATGATTGACATCGTGACCATCCTGCTGGGGTTCTCGGTCGGCGCAAGCACCAAGGCGCAGAATTTCCTGACGGAGCAGTCGCTGCAGATCTTCGGCCTGGGGGCGTTGTCGTTCGCGATCGCCACGGCCAGCGGCGTGCTGTTCGCCAAGCTGATGAACCTGTTCCTGACGCACAAGATCAACCCGCTGGTCGGCGCCGCCGGCGTGTCGGCGGTGCCGGACTCGGCCCGCGTGGTGCAGATGGTCGGCCAGAAGGAGGACCCGCACAACTTCCTGCTGATGCACGCCATGGCGCCCAACGTGGCCGGCGTGATCGGCTCGGCGGTGGCGGCGGGCGTGCTGTGGTCGGTGCTGGCGGGCTGACCCGGGCCGCCCAGGGCTAGGCGGCGTTCTTCGCGCCGGTTTCGCTGTTGAGCTTGTTGTACAGCGTCTTGAGGCTGATGCCGAGCTCGTCGGCGGCCTTGGGCTTGCTGCCGTCGTGGCGTTCGAGCGACTCGTGGATGGCGTCCATCTCCATGTCGCGGAGGGTCATCGGCCCGCGGCTCTTGGCGGCCGACGTGAGCTGACGCTTGCCAAAGTGGCGCGGCAGGTGCTCCGCGTAGATCGGGCCCTCGTCACACAGGATCGTGGCGTGCTCGATCACATTGGCCAGCTCGCGGACGTTGCCGGGCCAGACGTGGGAGGTGAGCGCTTCGATGGCGTCGTCGCTGAGCTGCTGCTCGATCGGCTTGGCGCCGGGGCGGAACCGCTTGAGCAGGTGCACGGCCAGCTCGGCGATGTCGTCGGTCCGCTCGCGGAGCGGCGGCAGGTAGATCTCGAAGGTGTTGATGCGGTACATCAGGTCCTCGCGGAACTCGCCGTCGGCGACCATCTCCTCGATGTTGCGGTGGGTCGCGCAGACCACCCGCACGTTGATCGAGACCGACTTGTTCTCGCCGACGCGGCGGATCTCGCGGCTCTCGAGCACGCGGAGCAGCTTGGCCTGCATCGCCTTGGGGAGCTCGCCGATCTCGTCGAGGAAGATTGTGCCGCCGTCGGCCACCTCGAACAGCCCGACGCGGTGCTCGTCAGCCCCGGTGAAGGCGCCCTTGGCGTGGCCGAACAGCTCGCTCTCGATGAGGGTCTCGGGCAGGGCGCCGCAGTTGATCGCCACGAACGGCTCGGCCGCACGGGCGCTCTGGTCGTGCACGGCGCGGGCGACCAGCTCCTTGCCGGCGCCGGTCTCGCCCCGGATCAGCACGGTGGATTCGGTCGGCGCGACGCGGCCGATAAGCCGCCGCACCTGGTCCATCGGCTTCGAGTCGCCGATCAGGCGCGGCGCGCCCTCGATGCTCTCCAGCCGGCGTTTGACCGCGTGGTACTGCTTGGTCAGCTTCCGCTTGTCGCTGACGCGCCGCAGGAGCGCCTCGATCTCGACCAGCTTGCACGGCTTGGTCAGGTAGTCGAACGCCCCGTACCGCAGCGCCGCGATCGCGCTCTCCGTGGTGCTCTTACCGGTCAGCACCACCGCCTCGGTGTCGGGGGAGTGCTCCTTGAGCTTGGCGATCACGTCGATGCCGGTCAGGCCGGGCATGTCGAGGTCGACGATGATGCAGTCGTAGTTGTTCTTCTCGATGGCCGCGACGGCCGTCTCGCCGTCGGGACAAACCGTGACCGTGTGGCCCATGCGAGGGAGCTCGAGCTTCATCAGCTCCTGGAGCGACCGCTCGTCGTCAGCAAACAGCAGGGCCAGGCCTTCGGGCTTATTCTTTTGGTCGGACATAGGTCGGCGTTCGGCGTGAGTCGTGGGGAGTTGTTGCGTGTGTTCTCAAGCAGCGGCAGCGAGCGAGTTGGGCGGGAGGGTCACCATGAACTTGGAGCCGGCGCCGGGGCCGTCGCTGGCGGCTTCGATCTCGCCGCCGTGCTCTTGGACGATGCGGTAGGTGATCGACAGCCCCAGGCCGGTCCCCTGGCCGCCGCGGCGGCGGGTGAAGAACGGTTCGAACAGGTGCTTGATGACTTCCTCGTTCATCCCGCAACCGTCGTCGGCCACGACAATCCGGACCCCGCCCGCGTGCGGTTCGAGCCCCACCGTGACGCGGCCGCCAGGGTCGAGACTGTCCAGTCCGTTGGTCACGAGGTTGAGGATGACCTGCTTCATCTCTTGCGGGTTGACATCCGCCACGATGGGCGGCCCGTCCTGCAACAGGATGTGCTTGTCCTGATACCTGCCCAGGTGCTGGACCATCTCGATAACGCCTGCCACCAGCTCGCGCATCTCGGTGGCGTGGCGTTGCGAGTCGCCCATGCGGGAGAAGTCGAGCAGCTTCTCGGTGATCTGCTTGCAGCGGAACGCCTCGCGGCCGATCATCTCAAGGTAGCTGCGGACCACGTCCCACTCGGGTCCACCGGCCTGGTCGGGGTTCACGAACTCGGCCAGCCGCCCCTCGAGCGACTCGCTGCACATCGCGATGGACGCCAGCGGGTTGTTGATCTCGTGCGCGACGCCCGCGGCCAAGAAGCCGACGCTCGCCAGCTGCTCGCTGCGGACCACCTCCTTGGTGCGTTGCTGCACCTGGCGGTCGAGGTCGTCGCGGGTCTCTTTGAACTGGATGGTCATGGCGTTCATCGCCTCGGCCAGCTCGCCCATCTCGTCCGAGGTGTTCAGCGCGATGCGGTACTCCAGGTTCCCGGCCCCGACCTCCCGAGCCCCCTCGACCAGCTGGTGGAGGGGACGCGCCACCGCGTGGCGGAACACCTGGATCGACATCACCATCAGCACCGCCACACAGACGGCTGTCGCCCAGGCCAGCGGGATCGCCACGTGGTACTGCGTGCGGACCTCGCCCGCCAGCTTGTGCAGACGACCGTGGAGGTGGCTTGGGAGCTCGGCGACCAGCGCCCTGAGGGTTTCGATAGACTCCTCGAGCTGATCAAACTGTGCGGAGTCGTCCGTCAACTCGTCGAGCACCAGCTGGTCGTCCTGGTGCTCGTTGACGATTTTCGCGAGGATTGCCTCGACACGGGTCAGCGTCGCGCGCTCGAGCCGGTCGTCGCTGATGCCCAGGCTCTCGTGCAGGCGGTTCTCGTCGAGCTGCTCGCGGTACTCGGCTAGCTTCTCCTTGAACTGCTCGAACTGGCTTCGGTAGTCCTCCCGCAGCATCTTGATGTCCCACGGGTCCGGCGAGTTTTCGGAGCCGAAGCTCACCGGCACCGGCTCGGCGTACTGCAAGACGTCCCGGCTCTTCGCGGCGTTCCGCTCGCGGGCCTTGGCGAGGATCACCCGGAGCTCGCCGACGTGCTGGCTCAGCTCATTGGCGAGGGGCAGCTCGGTGGAGCGGGCGCTGAGCGTCTTGACCAAGCCGCGGTACGCGTACAGGCCGTAGATCGCCGCGATAAACAGCGTGAGCGTGCTGACGGCCAGCAAGCCGAGGCCGACGCGGAGCTTATCCCGGATAGGCAGGTGTGAGAGCACGCTGGCGACCTCCTTGTCGCTGCTTCGTCGCGCGGGCCCATCGGTTGGGCCCACCGCTCGGACTCATCGCTTGGTAGAAAAGCGTTGCGGCGGGCTTCTTCCGTGAAGCCGCCCCAGGTCGGCGGGCAGTTTAGCAAGGTTCCTGAAAAAGTTACAAGCACAGAAACGCCGAGGAATCGACCGCTTCGCGAGATTGCGTTGGACCGCTGGTCGGCCTGCTAGGTCTTCACCCACTTTGGCACCCAGCTGGTGAGGGCAGACCCCATCGCGCCGAGCATCTTGTCGCGGTCATAGATAACAGACCTCATCAGGAGGGCCCCGCACGCCAGCAGCACGAGGTTGCCGCCCCACACTGCTTGGGGCGGGAACTTGCCCCCCTTTGCCTGGTCGACGCTGACCATCAGCATCGGGTAGTAAACGATCAGGATGGGCGCGAAACAAACGAAGAAGCTCGCCAAGAAGTCGCTCTTCCGCATGATCAGGGCCACCGGCACGCCCACCATGGCGAACGCCAGGCAAGAGAAACCGCCCGCCCAGCGGCGGTACGGCTCGACGTGCAGCCGGTTCAGCACAAAGTTGGCGCCCGCCAGGTCCTGGTCTCGCGCGTCCCATGACGCCTTGGAGACCTGCTCGAACTCGCCGGTCAGCATGGCGTAGGCCGCGCGGGCGGACATGTCGTTGTTGATCTGCTCGATATCGCCCTCGGTCTTCGCGACGGCGGGGCCAATCTCGGCCAATGCGTACGTTGAGGGGCTGCGGTGGCTCGAGCTGTCCGTCCCGAACAACGCGTCCAGGTCAACGGCCAGCTCGAAGGTGTCGGGGTAGGCGACCCTGGTCGGGCCGTCCACCATCGCGTTGAAGAACCGGATCACCATCTGGCGGCTGCCGGGCTGCGAACCGATCTCCGCCCAGTCGGCCGTGACGTTCCAGGCTTTGCCGTCCCCCGAATCCTGCAAAGAAACGTCGGGACGCACGAGCTTCTTCCCTTCTACCCGCTGCACGGTGATGCTGAGCTTCCGGTCGGTGTAGGCGCGGTCGACCCGTAGCTTGCCGTAGATGACCTCTTCAAGCGAGTCGATAAACACCCGCTCCACGCCGAGCCGGCCCCACGAGACCGCGATGTCATTCAGCGCTACGGCCGCCAGGCTCACCACCGCCGAGAACACAAAGGTCGGCCACGCGATCGCCCACGGCGAGATGCCCATCGACTTGATCGCCACCAGCTCGTTGAACGCCGAGAGTCGACCGAAGACGTTGGAGGTCGCTAGCAGCAAAGCGCCGGGCACGGCGAACTGCATCGCCTGCGGCAGGATATAGGGCGCGAGCCTCACGATGGGCCCGATGCCCATGCCGCGGTCAATCGCCTCCTTGCCCACCAGCCCCACAAACACCAGCGTGGTCATCCCGATCAGCGTGACCAGGAAGACCTGCACCAGGTCTATCAGCACGTAGCGAGTAAGGATACGCACAGGGCAGGCAGAGGGTGCAACGCGTGATGGGGGCGGAACGACTTGGTCGGTGAGTTTAGCAGCCGCCCCCGGCCGCGTGAACGACAATCATCGGCTGCTAGCAGCAGCGGCCATTCCATCGGCCGACGCCCAACGCGCATTGACAGCCGAGCCACGGGTCCTGTACAAGCCGCGCGGAATATTCTCCGAATCCGCTAAAGATCAACCAGCCCGTGGCCGACACCGCCCCCAACACCGCCGCTGACAACGCCCCGCCCACGGCGGAACGGATGCAGCGTCTGCGCGATTGGGCCAAGCAGCACCCCAAGCGGATGATGCTGGTCGGCGGGATGCTGGGTCTGACGGCGGCCGCGACGTTGGCCGGCTGGCTGGTGCTCGCCGACATGGCCGCGCCCTACCAGACCGCAACGGTTGAGAAGGCCCTCGAGGCGCTTGATGATGGCGACCTCGAGTACGCCGAGGACCTCGTGCTGCAGATCCAGGCCAACGGCAACCTGCCGCGCAGCGAGGTGGGCGGCCCGCTGTTCGTGCTGGGCGCCGTCAAGGCAGCCCGCTCGGTCTCCGAGTTCTCACCCGAACACCGCCGCCGCGGGTACCTGCTGGCCGCCGGCTACCTGACCAAGGCCCGCGAGGCCGGCTTCCCGGAGGGCCGCGAGCATCAGGGGCAGTACCTGCTGGGCAAATCGCTGATCCGCAGCAACCAGTTAAAGAAGGGCGTCAGCGTGCTGGAGGAGGCGTTGGCCGCCGACCCCGAACGCAAAGAAGACATGCACCGCCTCGTGGCCGAGGCCCACTTCTACTCCGAGCAGCCTATCTACGATCTTGTGCTCCGCCACCTCGATCGGGCCCTCGCCACGACCGAGCTAAAAGAGCCCGAGCGATCCCAAGCAATCGTCCTTAAGGCGCTCTCCCTCTCAGCGTTGAGCAAGTTCGAAGAGGCCATCGAGGCCCTCGAGCACGCCGACCCTGCCGAGGGGCCAGCCCGCAGGCTCCTGGTCCAGGCCCAAGTTAAGGTCGGGGAACTGGACTACACGACCAACGCGTTGCAGCAGCCCGACCCGCAGACCGTGGACGCGATGGTCGCCGAAGCCGAGCTGCTGCTGGATCAGGCGTGGCAGGCCGACAAGCTCGCGACCCGCCGGGGGGCGAATCAGTTGCTCCGCGCCCAGTTGAGGAGGCTGCAAGGCAAGACCAACGAGGCGCTCGCCCTGCTCGAAGAGGTGCAACAAACACACGGGCAGGAGCCCGAGGGGATCGCCGCGGCGGTGGCCGAGGGCGAGATGTACCAGGCCCTCGATGGAGACGAGCTGGCGGTTCAGAAGTACCGCGTTGCGCTGGACTCGATCAGCGACCCGATCAGCTACCGGAGCGATCTGCTGCCGCTGTCCCAGCTGCGCACCCTGCTGCTCGCTGCGCACGCGGGGTTTATCGTCCGGGACAAGCACCACGCCGCCGCCGAGATTGTTGAGCGGATGTACCCGGTGTTCAGCCGCAACCAGCAGCTCGAATTAAAAGCCCACACGTACGCCTCGTGGGGCGAGCGGCTGCTGGCACGGGCCGCGAGCGAGAGCTGGGCGGCCCAGGAGCTGCGGAAGGAAGGCCGCGCCAAGTACCGCGAGGCGGGCGTCAACTACGAATTGCTGGCCGACAGCCGATTCGCGGACAAGCGTTTCACCAAGCACATGTGGGAGGCCAGCGAGGCCTACTTTAACGGGCAGAGCTACTCGAGCGCGTTGCGGGTGATTCGGCAGTACCTCAAGAACGAGCCGCAGCAACGCAACGCGTTGGCGCTGCTGCGGCTGGGGCAGACGCTGCTGGCGATGGACAAGCCCGCCGGCGCGATCGACGCGTTCACCGAGTGCATCGAGTTCCACTCGCAGGACGCGGCGATCTACGCCGCCCGCCTGGAGTGCGCCCGGGCCTACCGCGACGTGGGCCAGTCGGACCGGGCCCACGCGTTGCTCGACCAGAACCTGATCGGCAGCACCCTCGCGCCGCAGAGCCCGGAGTGGCGGGACTCGAAGTTTGAACTCGGCCGGCTGCTCCATTCGCAGCAGCAGTACGCGGAGGCCATCGAGCACCTAGAGGAGGCGATCCTCCGGTACCCCGACGACCCGCAGACCCAGCTCGCGCAGTACCTTGTGGCCGAGGCGTACCGCTACGCGGCGGACACCCACCTCGAGCTGTACGCCGAAGCGAAGACCGTCAACGAGCGCGAGCGCAACTACAAAGAGATCAACGCCGACCTGGGCGCCTCGCTGGAGTTCTATGAGCGGGTGCGGCGGGAGATCGCCCTGCAGACCAACTGGTCGACGGTGGAACGGGTGATGATCCGCAACTGCTACATGTTCAAGGGCGCCGTGCTGTTCCAGCTGGGAGTGTTGGAGCAGGACGAGGCCGCCCGCACCGCCGGCGACGGCAAGCAGGACGTCACCGCGATGCATGTTGCTCGCGCCAAACAGCACCTGACCGCCGCCGCGCAGGCGTACTCTGACCTGTCGGCGCAGTTCCAGAACGAGCCCATCATGCTTGAGGTGCTGGTGCAGATCTCACAGTGCTGGCGGCGGCTGAACGACCCGACCAAGGCCCGCAAGCAGATCGCCCACGCTCTGGGCCTGCTGGACCAGATGCCGCGCAACACCGACTTCGCGGCCACGACCAACCTGTCACGCAACGAGTGGGTTGCGATGCTCACCGAGATGCGAACCTGGTAGGCCCCTTCAAGCCCGATCCCATGTCAGCCTCCGCTGCCACAACCGAACGACTCGCCGAGCTCCTCCGCCAGAAGCGGCAGGTGCTTACCCAGCTGCACCAGATCGGCGTTCGCCAGGGCGAGCTGGTCACCGGGGGCGACGCGTCACTGCTCTTGAAGCTGCTGGGCGCCAAGCAGAACCTGCTGACCGCGCTGCAGCAGACCGAGCGGTCGCTGGCGCCCTTCCGCGACCAGGACCCGGAGTCCCGGCCGTGGCCGACGCCCCAGCACCGGGCAGCAGCGGCCGAAGACGCCGCGGAGTGCTCACGCCTGCTGGAAGCGGTGGTGCGGATGGAACGCGACCACGAGCAGGCGATCGCGGCCAAACGCGACCGCGTCGCCCAGCAGCTGCGGGTCGCGCACTCCGCCCACCAGGCAGCCGGCGCCTACGGTCAACAAGCCCGCCAACGCCTTACGCCCGCGCCCCTCAGCGCGGCCCCGCCCGTCGAGAGCCTCGACCTATCCTCAGGATCGTGACCCCATGCAACCGGCCCGACAACACGACCCTCTACCCGCGCCGCACCAGCTGCGCGTTGTCGGGCTGGACCACGACGAGCCCGACCCCGAGGCGGACGACATTGCCAGCCTGCTCACGGCCTGGAACGACGCCACCTTGCGGCTCGAGCAGACGCACGCGGTGCTGCAGACCGAAGTGACGCGGCTGACCAACGAACTTGAGATCAAGAACCAAGAGCTCGCGAGGAAAAACCGCCTGGCCGATCTGGGCCAGATGGCTTCGCACGTCGCGCACGAGGTCCGCAACAACCTGGTGCCCGTCACCCTTTACCTGAGTCTGTTGCGGAGGAGGCTCGCGGACCAATCCGAGAGCCTGGACATCCTTTCTCACGTCGAGGCAGGGTTTACCGCCCTGGATGCTACCGTGAACGATCTACTCAGCTTCACCGCTCACCGCCAACCGCAGTGGCACAGCTTCCTGGTTTGCTCGCTGGTGGAGGAGGTCTGTGAATCGATGGCGCCCCAGCTGAACGCCCAGGGTATAGACGTCGACATCGACGTCCCGCCCAACACGGTCCTGACCGCCGATCGCGAGATGATCCGCCGCGCGGTGCTCAACCTGGTGCTCAACGCGATGGACGTCATGCCCAACGGCGGCGAGCTGGTCGTCACCGGCTACGACGGCGTCGCGCAGTTCGAGCTGGAGGTGGCCGACAGCGGCCCGGGCCTGACCAGTGAACAGAAACGCCGTTTATTCGAGCCGTTCTACACCACCAAGGACAAGGGCACCGGCCTGGGTCTGTCCGTGGTGTTCCACGTCGCCGAGTCGCACGGCGGCAAGGTCACGGCCATCAACTGCCCCGAAGGCGGGGCGGCGTTTACCCTGAAGATCCCCCGTCGCGCCATGGAGGCCGCCGCTTGACCGCCCCCACGCCAACCACCCCGATGGCGACTGTCCTGGTCGTCGACGACCACGCCGCCGCCCGTCACTCGGTGGCGGACGTGCTGTCGTGCGCCGGGTACGCGGTCGATCAGTGCGCCAGCGCCGTTGAGGCGCTGGGCCGCATGCGGGACCACGAGCCGGACGTTGTGGTGACCGACCTGCAGATGCCAGGCATGAACGGCCTGGAGTTCATCGAGGAGATCGGACGCCGGGATCACGCCTGCCAGGTGCTGATGATCACCGCGCACGCCAGCGTCCAGACGGCGGTCGACGCGATGCGGATTGGCGCGTTCGATTACCTTGAGAAGCCGTTCGACGTCGACCGGCTCGAGGCGAGCGTGGCGCGGGCCGCCAAGCGACGGTCGATCTCGGAACCCGACGACGCGGCGCCCCGGATCCTCGGCGACAGTCCGGCCATGCGCCGGCTGCACGAGCAGATCTCGCTGATAGCCCCGACCGACGAAACCGTGCTCATCTGTGGCGAGAGCGGCGTTGGCAAGGAGCTGATCGCCCAGACGATGCACTCGCTCAGCCGCCGGGCCGCGGGCCCCATGGTGGGCGTAAACTGCCCGGTGCTGTCGGAGCAGCTCGCCGAGAGCGAGCTGTTCGGCCACAGGAAGGGCGCGTTCACCGGCGCCGACGCCGATCGCGTCGGACGCTTCGAGGCCGCGCAGGGCGGCACCATCCTGCTGGACGAGGTCACCGAAATCAACCCGCAGCTGCAGGCCAAGCTGCTGCGGGTGCTGCAGGAGCGCGTGTTCGAGAAGGTCGGCTCGAGCGAGGCAATGCCGCTCGACGCACGGGTGATCGCCGCGACCAACCGCCGGCTCGAGGAGGAGGTTCAGGCGGGACGCTTCCGCGAGGACCTCTACTACCGACTGGCCGTGGTGCCGATCGCGGCGCCGCCGCTCCGCGAGCGCGGCGAGGACGTCCTGCTGCTGGCGGAGCACTTTGCCGATCAGGCGGCGAGCCGCCTGGGCCGCGACCGGCGGCTGACCGACGCCACCCGTGACCTCTTGATGGGGCACCACTGGCCGGGGAACGTGCGTGAGCTGCAGAACATCATCACCCGCGCCTGCGTGCTGGCGGATTCGGACGACATCAACGCCGACCTCATCCGACCGTGGCTGGCCGGCTCGCCGCCCGCTGCCGTGGCGGCTCCGCCAACGCCCGCCGCCGCCGACAAGACACTGGCCGAGGTAGAACGCGACGTCATCCTCGCCACGCTCAGCCGAAACGGGGGGCACCGTGCCCGCACCGCCGCGGCCCTCGGCATCGGCGTGCGGACCCTCAGCGGCAAGCTGCGCGACTACGGCGTGCCCCCCGGGGAGAAGCAACTGGCCCGCGCGGCCTAGCCGACATCCAACAACAACCGGCGGCTTCTGCCGAACGCTATCGGCAGAAACTGCCGGCAGCGTCCTGCCAGGAGAACGACGGGCAATACGTGGGTTGTGGCGATCTAGCGAAGCCGCAACGACTTGCGAAGGACGCGGCGCCGACAGCGGGCGTGTTGGCGCGCCGCTTGCTTTCATCGCCGGGGGGCGAGACCAAAACGCATCTATCAGATCACGCCCTCAGCCAGAACGCGAACGGCCATGGCTCCTGACATCTTTAAATCGTCCACGCTGCCGGTGCTGGAGCAGGTGGTTAACTTCGCGCAAGCACGACACGGAGTTCTGGCGGGCAATATTGCGAACCTTGACACGCCCGGCTATAAGACCCGCGACCTTTCTCCGGAGTTGTTCCAAGAAAACCTCAAGCAGGCCATCGAGGACAGCCGGCGGCCGGTCAGCCCGGGGCAGGCAATGGCGGCCAGTGAGACCGGGCAGACCCCAACCAATTACAACGCCTTCGCGAAGGTGGAAGAATCGATGAAGAGCATCCTCCGCCACGACGGCGTTGACGTCAGCCTCGAACACCAGATCGCTGAGATCAGCAAGAACCACGCGCAGCACAACCTGGCGGTCAACCTGATGAGCAACCAGTTCCGGCTGCTACGCGCCGCGATAAGCGAGCGTCAGGTGTAGTCGCCCCCCACGGTTCTCTTTCAGCCCTTACCTTCTACCTCCTACTCTCATGTTCAATGCCTTCGACGTTAGCACGAGCGGACTGGTCGCCCAGCGGACGCGGCTCAACGCGATCTCGTCGAACCTGGCGAATATGTCTACCACCCGCAACGAAGCCGGCCAGCCCGAGGCGTACCGCCCGCGGTACGTGACCTTTCAGACCGACACCGGCATCCAGACGTCCGGTGGCGGGGCGGGCGTGCGGGTTGCGAGCGTCGACGAGTCGACCGAGGCGCCCAACATGAAGTATCAGCCGGGCCACCCCGACGCCGACCCCAACGGCTACGTCGCGTACCCGAACGTTGACATGACGACCGAGTTCGTCGACGCCCTCGAGGCGACCCGCGCCTACGAGGCCAACATCGGCGTAATCGAGATCACCAAGGACCTGGGCTCCCAGACGCTCCGGATCATCGCCTAGGCTCCGCCAGGCGCCCCCCAGCCCGCAGGGCTAACAAACCATGAACCCGATAACCGCCGGCGGATTCCAGCCGACCAACCTGACCAGCCCCGCGCTGCAGACCAGCGAGACGCCCGACGCGGGCGCCTTCAAGGGGATGCTGGTCGACTCGATCCAGCACGTCAACTCGATGCAGACGCAGGCCGACCAGGCGGTCGAGACCCTGTTCACCGGCGGCGACATCAACCCCGCCGAGGTGCTGACCGCCGTCCAGAAGGCCGACCTGGCCTTCCGCCTCACGATGCAGATGCGGAACAAGGCGATGGAAGTTTACCAAGAGATCAAGGACATCCGGATCTAGGCGTTCGACGCGGGTTGGCGGGCGCCCGGCGTCCGTCCCCGACCAAGATAGACCACTTCGCTCTTCACCGACGCCTGCCCACTAACGACCGCCAATGGACTTCCTGAACAAATACATCGAGCAGCTCCGCGACCTGTTCGCGAGCATGACGCCCGGCGCCCGGCTCACGACCGGCGCGCTCCTGGCCGTGGTCCTGGTCAGCGTTGGGTTCCTGTTCAAGCAGTCGACCTCAGGCCCCGGCGAGTTCCTCTACGGCGGCGAGCCGCTCACCCGGCAGGAGCTGATCGACGTCGAGAACGCCCTCGCTCAGGCCGGCCTGAACGACTACGAGGTGCGTGGAAACATGATCAAGGTGCCCCGCACCAAGAAGCACGAGTACCTGGCCGCCATCGGCGCCGCCGACGCCCAGCCGCGGGACGTCACGAGCGTGCTCGAGCGGGCCGTCGACGGCCTCAGCCCGCTGAGCTCCAACGTGCAGCAGCAGCACCAGGTCAAGGCGGCCCACGTGCGGACGCTCTCGATGACGATCAGCAAGATCGCTTGGGTGCAGGACGCGAGCGTGATGTACGACGAGAAGGACATCCGCGGTCTGCGGCACAAGACCATCTCGACGGCCACGGTCAACGTGCAGCCAAAGGCGGGCGAGTACATCGACAGCCGTCGGGCGCGGAGCCTGCAGAACATGGTCGCGGGCGCGTTCGCGAGCATGAAGCCCGAGAACGTTGTGATCAACAACCTAAACGGCGACGACGTCGCGAGCCTCACCGCCGTCTCTCCGGACGACTTCAGCACGCCCTACCTGCGGGAGCAGGCGCGGCTCGAGATGGCGAAAAAACGCGACGTCGAACGGCTGCTCAGCTACATCCCGGGCGCCAAGGTGCAGATTAAGGTGGAGCTCGACGAGAAGCTCTCCGAGGAGTCGCTCGCCACACGTCCTGAGGGGACGCCGGTCACGGTCCACGAGTCCGAGGTCACCGAAACGAGCAAGCAGACCAACACGGACGGCGGCGCCCCCCCCGGCGGCTTCGCCCAGGGGCCAAGCCGCGGCACACGCGAACTCCCGCCGGCGCGCAACAACGCCTCAGAGACCAGCGTCTCGAAGACAGAATCCACGACCAAGCCGTACGACATGCGGGTCGCGACCGTCAACGCCGGCCTCGTGCCCAAGTCGATGTGGGCCAGCATCGAGATCCCCCGAGAATTCATCATCGGGATCTGGCGAAAGAACAAGCTCGCCGAAGAGGGCAAGGAGCCGGAGCTGGTCGACCCCGAGCAGGTCCGCTTGGTCGAGAACAAAGTGATCAACGACATCAAGACCTCTGTCGAACCGCTGATGACAGAGCTCGCCGCCGGCAAAGACGACTTCTCGCAGGTCAAGGTGGTGGTCTACGACACGCTGCCGCAGGCGGAAATCGAGAAGCCTTCGATGGCCAGCCAGGGCCTGTTCTGGCTCGGCGAGTACGGCAACTCGCTCGCCATGGTCGGCCTGGCCGCCTTCAGCCTGGTGATGCTGCGATCGATGGTCCGGGGCGGCTCGACGGGCGGGCCGACGAACGCCCCGTCGTTGCAGCTCAACGGGGGTCAAGAGCAGTCCGGGGGCGACGACGCAGACGCCGACGACGACTCACGCCCGAAGCTGCGGCTCAAGAAGCCGGACTCCGTCAAGGACGACCTGGCCGATATGGTCCGCGAGGACCCGGACGCCGCGGCCGCCATCCTCAGCAACTGGATCAGCAACGCGAGTTAAAACGCCCTTAGCGTGACCACCCCAGCGACGAGCAGCAGAGAAACCCCACTGACTATGGCGACCGCGACCCTTCAATCCGAATCATCCATCCGCAAGGCCGCGGTGCTGGTCCGCAGCCTCGACCCGGAGTCGGTCGCGGCGTTGCTTGCGCGGCTGTCGCCCGCCGAAGCCAAGGCGGTCCGCCAGGCGGTCCGCGAGCTAGACGATATCAGCGATGAGGAACGCCTGCAGATCGCCGCCGAGCTGCGGGGCAACGATTCGGCCACGTCTCGGTCCTTACGCGAAGAGCAAGACGCGAGCGTGGAGATCGCATTCAGCGGTGGCTACGCCCCGCCGATGCCCTGCCCGACCCCCACGCCCCCCGCGATGTCCCCGCCGCAGGTCGGCTCGCCCCGGCTGGGCTCGCTTGGTCAGGCCGACCCCGAAGCGTTGGTCGCGTACCTGACCCTTGAGCAGCCTTCAACCATCGCCGTAGTGCTCTCCTGCCTGCCGCCCCACCGCGCGGCGGATGTGCTAAGCCGCCTGCCCGATGACCTGCATGACCGGGCCGTCAATCGCCTGGCCGAGATGGGCGATATCGACCCCGACAGCCTCGACGTCATCGCCGCTGAGCTGGAGTCGTGGATCGCGCAACACACGCAGGACCGCCGGCGCCGCGACGACCGCCGCGCTACGCTGCAGGCCATCATTGACGCGTCCCCCACCTCCTCGCGTACGCGGCTCGCCAGTCAGCTGGCAAGCCGCTGGCCGGAGCTGATGCCGGCAGAACCGCCTGCTCCTGAGCCCCCTAGGGAACCGACCCGGCCGACCATCGCGCTGCCGCTGCGGAAGCCGACGCCGCGGGCGGCCGTCAAGCCGCCTGCCCTACCCTTCGCCTCGCTGGACTCGCTCAGCGGCGCCCAGCTGGCGTCTGTCTTTGCCGAGGTTGACCGCGGGACCTTGCTGGTAGCGCTCTTTGGCGCTGGTGAGGAACTTCAAGAGCGGCTCCGCGAGATCACCTCCGCAAAACAGATGACCGCCTTGGAGCAAAGCATCAAGCAGCTCGGCCCGGTGCGGTTAAGCGACATCGCCCACGCCCAACGCGTCGTGGGCGAGGTCGCGGCGGCGGTGCTCGCGCCGGATCGGAGGGTCGCCTGATGGCCAGCATCATCCGCGGCGGCGTGGACTCCGCCCAGCCAAGCAGCCAGCCCGTCCGCGCCGTGGCGTTCGACTTCCAAGACATGTCGCACCGCGCGGACGAGTACGTCCAGCAGGTCCGCGACGAGGCGGCCAAGATCGTGCAGCAGGCCCACGCCGACGCCGAGCAGATCCGCCGCAACGCGGACAAGGCGGGCCGCGAGACCGCCGAGCAGGCGATTGAGAAGGTGCTGTCGGAGATGGTCGGCAAGCAGATCGACACCCTCCGCCCGGCCCTGGCGGGCATCGTCAACCAGCTTGATGACGCGCGGAACCAGTGGCTCGACCATTGGCAGCAGGCGTCCTTGGCGCTGGCCGTGAAGATTGCCGAGCGGCTCGTGCGGCGAGAGCTGACCGCGCAGCCAGAGATCCCCGAGGACTGGGTCCGCGAGGCGTTGACGCTGGCAGCCGCCGGGGGCGAGATCACGGTGCGTCTGAACCCGGCGGACCACGCCCACCTGGCGCCCAAGGCGGAAGAGGTCGCCCGCGACCTGGGCAAGCTCGCACAAACACGCATCCTCGACGACGACGCCATCAAGCCGGGCGGGTGCCTCGTTGAGACCCGCTACGGCGCCATCGACATGCAGCTGGAAACCCAGCTGGCGCGGATGGCGGAAGAACTCGATTGATCGCAGGCGCCCAACCGCTCAGGACGATGGACCGTCCCTATGGACTTTGACCGCACACTCCAGAACGCCACCCCCGCTGCCCTGACCGGCAGCGTTGTGGAGGTGGTCGGCATGACCGCAACGGCGGCCGACTTCCCCGCGCCCATCGGCGCGCTGGCGGAGATCTACGCGCCCTCGGGCGAGTCGATCGAGGCAGAGGTCGTTGGCTTCTCAGACGCCGGCGCGGTGCTGTACCCACTGCGGAGCATCGCGGGCGTACGCCGCGGGTGCCGCGTGCGTCTGAAGCGGACCGAGCGACGCATCCGCGTCGGCAACGGCCTGCTGGGGCGGGTGGTGAACGCCCACGCCCGCTGCATTGACGGCAAGCCCCACCCCTTCCTAACCGACCGGGCGCCGATGGACCGCGACGCCCCCGGACCGGTCGACCGCCCACGCATTCAGCAACCACTCTCCACCGGCGTCCGCTCGATAGACGGCATGCTGACCTGCGGACGCGGCCAGCGGCTGGGTATCTTCGCCGGTTCGGGCGTGGGCAAGAGCGTGCTGCTGGGCACCATGGCCCGCAACACCTCGGCCGACGTCAACGTGATCTGCCTGGTCGGCGAGCGCGGCCGCGAGGTCAACGACTTTATCGAACGCGACCTCGGCCCGCAGGGCCTGGCGCGCAGCGTGGTGGTGGTCGCCACCAGCAACGAGCCGGCGCTGATGCGGCTGCAGGCCGCGTCGGCCGCGACTTCGATTGCCGAATGGTTCCGCGACCGCGGCAAGGACGTGCTGCTGCTGGTCGACTCGGTCACACGCACCGCGATGGCGAACCGCGAGATCGGCCTGGCCGCCGGCGAGCCGCCCACCAGCCGCGGCTACCCACCCTCCACCTTCAGCCTGCTCCCCAAGCTCGTCGAGCGCGCCGGCCGCGCCCGGCAGGGGAGCATCACCGCCTTCTACTCGGTGCTCGTCGAGGGCGATGACGAGAACGAGCCGATCGCCGACACAATGCGGGGCCTGCTGGACGGGCACGTCTGGTTGTCCCGCAAGCTGGCCGGCGAGGGGCACTACCCGGCCATCGACCTGCTGCAGAGCATCAGCCGCCTGATGAGCGAGGTCGCGGGCCAGCGCGAGCAGGAGTCGGCCCTGCTGGTCCGCAGGCTGCTGGCGGCCTACCGGGAGAACGAGGACCTGATCACTATTGGCGCCTACCGTAAGGGGAGCAACCGAACGGTGGACGCGGCGCTGGCGCTGCGTGAAGAGATCAACGGCTTCCTGCGGCAAACCCGCACCGAGGAGTGCACCCTCGAGACCACCATCCAGGCGCTCAACGCGCTCGGCACAAAGGCCGCCAATGCCTTGGGCGCGCCGGTCGCGCCCATCGCCCCGGTGACGGCGCCCGCGGTGACCGCGGCGGCCCCTACCCCAACCATCTGACCTAGCAGACCGTCATGTCTTCCTATCGCTTCCGACTCGAACCAGTGAGGCGCCTCCGCGAGGCGCACCGCGACGAGTTGCGCGGTCAGCTCGCCGACGCGTACCGCGCGGCGGAGGTGGTCAGCGAAGAGCGGCAGCGGGTCCTGGCGGAGCTCAACTGCGTTCGCACACAACAGCAGCAGCTCGCCCGGGAGCCGCAAATGAGCGTCAACCGCATCGTCGAGCACCAGCGGTACGAGCTGATCCTCGAGGCCCAGGCGAAGGGGCTGGCCGAGAAGCTGCAACTCGTGGAGCAGGAAGTCGATCGCCGACGCCAGCTGGTGGCCGACGCCGACCGCCAGGTCCGGACGCTCGACAAGCTGGAGGACCGGCAACGCACCGCCCACGTGCTGCACGAGCAACGCGCCGAGAACAAGCTGATGGACGAGATCGCGTTGCAGTCCCTCGGCGGCCGCACGTCGACGCGAACCGGAGGTGAGTCGCGATGAGGATGCTCATGGCCCTGGTCGGCTACGCCTGCACAGCAACGGTCATCTCGGCCGGGTTGGGGCTGGCCTACCTGTACGGCTCGAGCCGCGTGGACGACGAGAAGATCTTTCGCATGGTGGCCCTGCTGCACGACGTTGACATCGACCGGATCGCGGAAGAGACCCAAGGCGCCACTGAAGAGATCCCCAACGAGGAGCCCTCGCCGGAAGAAGTCGAATGGCGCCGCCAGATCTTGGCCCGGAACCACGAGGTTAAGATCGAGGCCCTAAAACGCGGCAAGCTGAACTTCGACGCGTCGCTCTCGGCGCTGATCACCGAGAAGAACCGCTTCGACGAGATCGCCACCAAACTCGAGCAGCAGCTTGAGGAGGAGGGAGAGCTCTCTAACAAGCAGAGCGTGCAGAAGGTTGTGCAGAACCTCGAACTGATGAAGGCCGACCAGGCGAAGGAGGAGCTCATGCGGATCCTCGCCGAAGAAGACGGCGTGAACAACGTTATCAAGCTGACCGGTTCTATGAACACCGGCAAGCTGAAGAAGATATTGCAGCGGTTCGTGGACGAGGAAGAGCAGGAAGAACTGCACACGATCATGCAATCGATGCTCGACGGCGGTCCCCAGCAGGAGGTCTTCCAGGACGCGTTGGAAGAACTCAACAAGCTAAAGTCCAAGTAGCCCTCGCGGCCCCAAGCCATGCCCCAGATCGCCATTGACCTCAGCCAACCGCTGATCCCGCCCTCCGCGCCCAGCAACGCGCGGAAGGACCACGACGCGTTCGCCACGCGGCTGTCCGAGGCGGGTGAGCGTCAGCCCGCCGCGGCGCCGTCCAAGCCAACCGACAAGCCGGAGGCCGCTACCGCTGAATCGGCTGAACAAGGCGAGGCGCCCCCGGAGGTTGAGCAGCGAGAAGCAGACACGCAGGACGATGCGGAGCCCTCGGAGACCTCGGCCGACACCGCCGGTGAGTCTGCCGCCCAGCAGACGGTTGCAGCAGAACAAGACGCGGTAGAGCTGTCGGGAGAGGCGCTGTTGGTTCCAGCGGATGAGGCCGCGGCGGCGCCGCCCGACCAAGACCAAGGTGACGCCGCTGAGCAACCAGCACAACAACCGGAAGTCGCCACCGCAACGACGGACGGCGGCGAGATTGAGACCGAGGCCGCAACACCCGCGGCTGAGGAAGCAACCGCTCCGCCCAGCGACGGCTCTGAGGAAGACAAGCCTCAAACCGAAGCGCCAATTGAAGCAACCGATGGTGACGACCACGCGAGCGTGAGCCCCGACGAGGGCTCGGTCGAACTGGCTCCCCGCCCTCAGGCTCAGGACAGCTCTTCAGCCGAGCCGGAAACCGAGGGCGACAAGGACCAATCGACTAACTCTACGTCGCGGGAGAAGGATCCTAGCGATCATGCCTCCGCACGCGACGGCGATCAGGGCCGGCAGCCCGCCGCGTCCAACGCGGACAAGCTTTCCGACCCGGATCCAGAATCGGCGGTCAAGCCAACTCAAGAGCCGAGCGTCGACGAGCCTGCGGTGGAAACAACGCCCGAGGCGGCCGCGCCCGCCGATCGGAAGGCCGAAGGGGGTGGCCCGGCGCAGACCAATCACAGTTCGCTTGAGCGGCTGACCTCGGCCCGTTTTGGCGTGGCCAAAGCAGGCGAGCCGGCGCCCGGCGAGACCACCCCCCAGGTCGACCCCGCCCGGTTTGTGAGCCGCGTCAGCCGAGCATTTGACACCGCCAGCCAGCGCGGCGGCGAAGTCCGCCTGCGGCTCAGCCCGCCCGAGCTCGGCGCGATGCAGATCAAGCTGTCGGTGAGCGTCGAGGGGACGATGCACGCCTCGGTCGAGACCGAAACCTCCGCCGCCCGCAACGTGCTGCTCGACAACCTGCCCGCGCTGCGCGAGCGGCTGGCCGAGATGGACATCCGGATCGAGAAATTTGACGTCGACGTCCAGCGGGACGGCGCCGGGCAGCAAGACTGGACGGAGAACGAACAACGCCGCGACGAGCAGCGTGCGCAGCGGGCCAATTCATTGTCGGGCTCGGAGCCCGGGGCCACCTCGGAAGAGCCAGCGGCGACCGCGTCGCCCACACCGGGCGCAGCCCCGGGTGGCGTCGATCAGATCAACCTCGTTGCCTAAGGAGGCGACCCCGTGTCACAGATCAGCAGCGCACTGGGCGCCGGCGCCGGCTCCGCTACGGCGGCGACCGGCAAGAACGCGTTCGACGACCTCGACCTCAACGTCTTCTTGGAGTTGATGATCGCCGAGCTGCAGAACCAGGACCCACTCAACCCGCTCGAGAACGACCAGCTGCTTGCGCAGATCAGCCAGATCCGCGAGGTCGGCGCCACGGACAAGCTGACCCAGACGCTCGACGCCGTGCTGCTGGGGCAGAACGTGTCGAGCGCGACCAACCTGATCGGGGCGGACGTCGTGGCGCTGACCGACGACGGCCAGCGCGTCACCGGCAACGTCCGCCGCGTGACCATCGCCGACGGGCAGCCAACGCTCGACCTGGCCGTGGACACCGAGACCAAGGCCTCGGCGACCGCCGGCGACTTGGCGGAGGGGTCCTACGTGTACGATGTCGTGTGGGACGGCCCCGAGGGTCAGACCTACGGGGTGCAGGTCGCGGCCAACACGGCGGACTTCTCCGACTTCAAGGGCTCCATCCAGATCAACAACCTGCCAGAAACCAGCGGCGAGAAGCGGATCTACCGCACCGACAAGTCCGGCTCGGGCGAGGCGCGGCTGATCGGGTCGCTCCGCGGTGACGCCGCCAACATGCTCGACACCGTCAGCGACTCCAACCGCAGCGCCACTGCGCTCACGGAGGCCCCGGTCCTCGTGAACTACGCCCGCAAGGCAAGCGTCTCGCTCAAGAACGTCTCGGAGATCAACCCGCCCGACTAACCACCAATCAAGGTCCGCGCCCACCGACCGAGCGGTGAGGCGCGCCGCGCGTGACGCCGCGGGAGGGGACCCCGTCGCGTCGTACCACCAAGCATCAAACAAGGGAGTGAATCATGGGTCTTCAATCAGCGCTAACGACCGCCCTCACCGGCCTGCAGGCCGCGGAGACGACCATCGACGTCGTGGGCAACAACGTGGCGAACAGCAACACGGTGGGTTTCAAGGAGTCCAACGTAGTGTTCGCCACCCAGTTCCTGCAGACGCAGTCCATCGGCTCGGCGCCGAACGACGCCCGCGGCGGCACCAACCCGCGGCAGATCGGCCTGGGCGTGAAGGTGGCGGAGATCTCGCCCGACTTCACGCAGGGCACCATCGAGATCAGCTCCAACCCCCTGGACGTGGCGATCCAGGGCGACGGCTTCCTGATCGTGCAGGATGCCACCGGGCGGGAGCTCTACACCCGCAACGGCCAGCTCAAGCTCAACGCCAACAACGAGGTGGTCACCTCGACGGGCAACAAGGTGCTGGGTTACCTCGCCAACGACGAGTATAACATCCAGTACGACCGCCGGGTGCCGCTGACCATCCCGCTGGGCGCCCAGCGGGTGGCGCAGGAAACCAACGGCGCCGTGTTCGCGGGCGTGTTGAACCCGGCGTCCGAGGCCGGGACGATCCCGGCGATCGTTGAGTCGGAAGTGATCGGCCGCAGCGACGTCGACTACCCGCAGGAAGCCGTCACCACAGTCGCCGAGGACTCGCCGGACGTGGCCGCGGTCACCACCGGGTTCACGCCGGTGGCGGCCTCCGCCGGCCTCGACGACGGGACCTACAACTACCGGGCGGTGTTCGTCGACGCCGATGGCAATCGCAGCGCGCCGTCCAGCACCTTCACCGTCACGGCCACCAACGTCGCGGACTCGGGCGACGCGGACAGCAACCAGCTGGACCTGACCAACGCCCCCGTGCCCGCCAGCGGGGTGTGGACGCAGGTCGAGTACTTCCGCGAGGCGAGCGATGGCGAGTACTACTCAATCGGCTCCCCCGTCGCGACGGGCAGCGCCGCCCCGGTCGCCGACACGCTGGGCGACGCCGCTCTGCAGGCCAACGCCCAGCTCAACAACGGCGCGGTCGATGACGGGACCTACACGTACTACGTCACGTACTACAACACCACGACCCAGGCCGAGTCGCGTCCCTCCGCCAGCATCGGCCCGATCAACGTGACGGACGACGACAACACCATCCGGCTCGACCTCAGCGCGATCACCGACCCGACCGCGACGGCCGACGGCGTCGACTTCGATCAGGTCCGGATCTACCGTAACCTGAGCGGTCAAACCTCCAACTTCCGGCTTGTCGGCTCCCTGACCGAGCCGTGGAACTCCGGCCCGACAACCTTTGCCGACACCGCGTCGAGCAGCTCTCTGGGAACGGCGGACCAGCTCGACTTCAACGGCTCCGGGTCGGCGTTGGCGAACTCGGGCACCCTGCTGTCCGACCTGCAGATCCGCGAGGGCTCCAACTACACCGCCAACATCTTCGAGCCCGGTTCGCTCCAGTTCACCGGCGAGATCGGCGGCGCCAGCCTCGCGCCCAAGAC